CGAAATAGACGCAGAAGTAGCGAGCGTTGGCGTTTTTGCATTCACTACAAACGAGCGCTCGTCCAAAACCAAACTCGCTCTCAAGCCAACTCGGCGGCTATCTGCCGTCACCCAGTCAATCCTAGTACGTCCATTTGACCGATTAGAGGAATAATATTAAATATTTATTTATATTTATTATTCCTGCTGCTCATCGCTGGATTAGTCCAACTCGGCCACCCTTTCTTGCATGCCGATTTGACGCTTTTCCGAGTTTTGTTATAAAAGCAGCCCAGCAAACTTGTCTCCTCTGGTCCCAAATCCACAAGCAACAAGATGCCCCTCTCTGTCATCGTCCCCGACAATCCTCTCGCCTCCCATGCAAAGGGTGCGTAGCGCTCATCACCAGCACATACACATCTCTGATTGATTTACAGAACAATCGATACTCCACTACAGAGAGCTATCGTACCCACTCGCTGAAGAAGACTTGCATGCCCTGCGCCAGATGAGGCTGGCCAGTGGAACGTACTATGACCGCATCCCAACGTGGCTTTCCGAACTCGAGTCCGGCCATCGGCTCATGTGGTTCGTCTATCTCACCAAGACGACCTCTTCCAACACCATGGCCCACCACCACCATCACCACCACCATCAACCGCCTACACCAGCCCTCACCACCGCATCCAGCAGGAGCAGTCCAACATCTCCCATCTCTCCAGCGAGCTTGTCCTTCATCCTCAACACCCCGCTCACGTCCAGACCCCCTCCCAACCGCATCATCTCAGCTGGACTCGGTGACGGCTCGGACGAAGATCTCGTTCATCCCCGTCGTGCTCCCCCGACCCCGCCCCCCACGCCACCCGTCCTCATCGCCATGGTCTGCTTACTAAAAGTAAACCCCTCAGATCCGTCCCTAGCCTCCATCTCCACCAACCGCTTCGAACTCACCTCTCTCTGGATCTACCCCGCCTACCGTGCCCTCCGTCTCAACCACAATACCAACTCCAGTGCGACCATTGGCACCACAATCATAACCGAGATGGAGCGCCAGGCAGCGCTTCGCGGTGCCGAATATGTCACTTTCAATACCACAGCAGGGGCAAACCAGACTCTCAAGACATTCGAACGCATCGGCTACAGGGAATACAAACCCCGTGAACACCGATACTCCATCACTGATGTTGTCAACGTCGGCCTTCCGGGCAGTGTCGAATCAACCCTCGCCGCCTTTTTTGAAAAACGCGTCAAGGGCGTAGAACGGCCAGCCGTGTCGTAAAGGGGGGCGTCCCATCTGTCGTGTTTCATCTCTCGCGCTCCCAGTCAGTCTCTTTTGGATACCTCAGAGGACACTATATCTGCATACGACGGACCCATAACACTGTTTTCCTATACTCTCCCATGTAGCTTGTATGACTAGTTTTCACTCTTCGTTTTCTTTCCCCTTCGCTCTTTTCTTGGAAAAAAAGTATCTTTGTGCATTCAGGTCTATCTATACGTACAGACTGCCTGTATACATAGAGTCTGAAATATCGACGACACTTTTTTGTCTGCTCTTTATACTACTCACTTCAGGATTGACCTTGCCTGAGCAAGTCCTTTTGAGAGCGCTGAATATGAAATACGTTTGTTCTAGCCTCTTCCCTGACACAGCCGTAAGGAGGTCGTGTGCCGATGGACGAGCTCGTAACGGTTCAAATGCGATGGCGTGCTGATAGCAAGAGCCAGGTCGAACCATTATCGAGCAAGAGGCGTACTTAGATTCGACCAAAAATTACGTTCGACTTTTGATTCACCCGCTCTTGAATGATAGAAAACGGTCTTCGTGTTTTCGAAAAGGATAGAGATTCAATGCGGTTGGATCAGATAACTTGTAGGATAACAGACAGCAGCATAAAGGATGAAATAAAACCACACTGGGAGACGAGATATTAGTCGATATTGGTCCATTTTTGAGAAAAATTCTTCATGTCAAGGCGGCAATGCTCGGTAGTGACACGCCCTTGTCACTTTCTCCATCAGCGTCAAGATTGCCGTTTCCAAGCTTGGGATCAGTAGCCTCTACCCATCCGTCCGCATGTCGAATGACAGGAGTTTCTATATGATATACAGCATTTGCTGTATTTCGTCGCTTGCTGCCAGGTCTGCAAGGAATCAGCAAAGAAGCGAGTTGGACACGACGATACGCACCCTCCCTCGATAAATGTCCTCCATACATAATTTTTGACCTCTGCGGCCCCAGGAAGCTCCTGAAGAAGAGCCTTGACGACATTATCGTACAATCCAAACATTTCGTCTCCATTCACGACCGCTTGTTCGGGTTGGTTCCTTACTCGTAGCCCTTCTTTATAGATGTTCCACCACGCAGCAGTCGCCGAGTGACCACTTTCCCGTGGAGCATCCTCTGGCTGCACAGAAAAGATGGGATGCTGAGGGTCCTTTCCCTCTTCAATAAAGCACTGGTAGGTAACCAAGGCCTTGGGATCGATGGTGCTAAACCATCGTCTGCAGGGAAATGTGAGGTCGTCACCACGACAGTCGATCTGGTAAATCTCTCACCTCTCGCAATGATATCCAATGGGATAGAGCGACTTGGGAGTCGCCAAATCATCCGACGATATGATTCTCCCCAAGTCCCTAAGGGTAAACATGCCAACCTGCATCGGTAACAGGGGCTTTCCCTCCTGTCCTCTCGGAATGATCGGAATGTTAATCTTGTTCCTGGCCGCGGTCGACGCCGTATTTCGCTTCTTTGCCGGCTTTTGGGGACTTTGCGTACTCGACGAGGGCGATCGAGCTCGCTTTGCGCCAGCCTTGACACCCACCAGGCTATCATCGAGTCCGTTATCGTTCATACTCAGGTCAGCATTCGACATTTCATCGTCGGCCTGGACCTTCGGATGTGCAATGGGCTTAAGTCGGATACGCGTGCCCGATTTAGCGACCAATGGAATCGAGCCCTCCTCAGTACCCGGTCCATTCATGCCGATACCAGCACCTCCTAGAGCACCACCACCAATAGCCGTCCCATGGGGAGCGTCACCTGAAGCTAGGTGAGCGCCCGCGAGCGCGCCTGCCCCCTTGGCAGGTCTCTGTCGCTTGCTCGACCTCTTATTCTCCTTCTCGGTCGCGGAATCATCCTTCATGTCGCTCAGCAGTATCTTGTCCTTTTGGAGTGCGCTCTGCCGTGTGGGACGGGCTCGTTCTTGATGCGCAGACGGCATCAGGCCTAACGGCTCATAGTGGATACCCAGCACTGTCTGCACAAAGCTGAGGGTTCGAGTGGATGGAGGGCCAAGTGGGAGAGCGGAGGGCCTCGAGTGGGCAGTGGCACCGTTCTTCGGAGCATTTTCAAGTTGACGCAGTCGTTGTATCAGCACCCTGCGTAAAACGTAGAATGGCGATCAGCCCGAGACCCATATTTCACCTAGCTAGCAGTATAACAATAAAAGACTAGAAAGAAACGTACTCTCGTTCGACCGTCAATTTCTCAAACATCTCTTGTGATGTCTTGAGTTCGGCCAGCAGCGTAGTGAGTTCTGCGCTCTGCCGTTGTTGAATCATCGACATTTCCTACAAGCATTTATACATGCACAATTTGATGCGCATCATGTACGTCAACAGCTGAACAATTGGAGCGCTCAGAGGGAGGGATGGCAAACCTGTTGAAATTTCTGCAGGTAGCGTCAGCATATGGTAAGGTGTGGGACGGTGAAAGGAGAGCAGGATCCGGGGCAGATTGCGAGGCAAGGAGAAGGATAAGCACCTTTTCGTTCGTTTCCTGTATGATCCGGAGGTTGTTTATGCCTTCGATGAGCTCCGCGGTGGTCTGTACGCCGTGAGAGACTGACGAGGGCGGCTGGGTCAGTTTGGACGATGCTGGAGGGGCAGGTAGGTTATTGGAAGGGAGATGTACAGAAACGTGAGCCATGTCAGAATTTTTACAGTGTTATTGGAAGGATTTAGGGTATAACGGAGGCAGAAGGAAAGAGGGGGGTGTAAAAGCAAAAGGTGTCACCAAGCGACGCCCGACCAATCCCTCTGAGCTGTATACGCGCGAAGGAGCGCACCATCATTCGACTCCGCAACCTCCAAACGTTTTTAAAACGACTCGTACAATTTAACAAACATTTTCTGAGCTGTTTAATATCATCGCATTATTTTCCTTATCGAGTTACACGAAATTCTCTCTCTGACGATGGGCCCCTCGCTTGCTCAGGGTCCTCACTCAATGACATTATACACCCTGGGGAGCTTTGCCTTGGGCTTGTATCCCAGTTCATGCATGCGTATCAGCACAGTGTGGTGAATGTTGGGTGGAGGATGGGCAGCAATACGTCGAGCACGGCCCAAATTAGGCCTAGAATGGGGAGGAAGTCAGAAAAAGGGAATTTTCGGATTTGGCGTAAAATGCCGTAAAACTGATAACGACGCAATTGGGGATACGCACCAAAAAGTCGATTTCCATCTACCACGCTCTTGCCACATACGTTTCATCGGCATCAACTCGAGTATCAGCCAGGCCTTTCTCAACATCATCTCGTCATGGAGCGGCTCCAAGGCATCCTCGGCATCCAGCTCGTGACTTGTCATTCGGTAATGATCGTCAAAGGTGTGGTCATTGGGCTCGGGAATCTCCAGATCTGTTGGGAACATTGTTTCCCAAAGCATATGGAAAGGGCCACGAGTGGAGGGCACTACTGCAGGGATATAAGGGCTAGACTGCGTGCTCTGCCTAGTGCTGCCTGGTGACCATCTACGAGTCGCTTGAGTTAGCTTTCCATCCCAAAAGCTGGACGACTTTGCGCTCCCGATCAATGGCCTTGTATCGTCATAGGACCCTGGTTCGTCGACAAACTTGACAGTAGACGAGGCGGGGTCTGGAAAGTATCTGGGTTCATAGGCATCGACCTGGAAGTTCTCAAAAGCCGAAGTGAGACGGAAAAGGTGACGAGGTATGCCCATAAGCTTCAAGCGTTGGCCCTCACTAATCACATGTGTACCATAAGGCCTTCGTCACGAAGAAACTGATCGAGCACTTACAAGAGAATTCCACACTGCGACTGTGCTATCTGAGCGAGCATCCACCGTAGCGAAATATTCGACAGCGAATGGACTCGTTCGTCCTTGCATTCGCCACCTCCGACGTCTGTTTGGAATATCAGCTCGAGATAACTTCTGTAGGAAGCAGGACTGACCAGCATGAGTGCCCGCGAACCAAACTTCGAGGACGTCAGTCTCATTCCTTCCATAATGATCGGAATTCTCCCGTTCTATCTCATACCACGTCTTTTGACGACGGTTCGTGGTTTTGGGCTTGTCCTCTTCAATAACTTGCTTGGCCCACGTGTTGACATTAAACTTGCTACGACGTTCATCCAAGGCGATAGCATGTCGAAACGTCTTGATGATCGAATTCGAGCTAGTAAACGGAAGGTGCCTCGGTATTATCGACCCCTGTCCCAATTGTTATTCCAATCTCGAATAACAAGACTTCATCATACGCACCACCGATGAAACGGTATCCCTAGGAGGACGAGTCAGAACGGCGCCACCACATGTCAGTCTCGGACCTACCAGACGCCGACAAACTCGATATCTACAGTCCGTGAAAAGGTCTTTTTGAACCCATGGGCTTGCGTGATTCCCTCCGCATCTGTGAAGGAGATAGTGATGGTCGTCAGCAGCCCCACTCGCTTCCTTTTGCTATTTGAAATTGGAGGAGTACAAACCTGTTCTCTTGTACATTTCAAACGCAAAGGTCACCTGCAACAATAGTCAATCTCATGTTCCATCTACCGGCAAATCACCAAAAAGGGTGCAGCATGGCATACCTGCTCCTGATTATCCTTGGGCAGCAGGCCGACCTTGTGTAGCATACCGGCAAGACATCTAGCCGTGTACGCGCCCCTGGAGAATCCAAACTATAAACGAAACATGAATCAGCTTATCAATTTCTCATCCTTCCGAGGTCGAGAAGGAGGGATAGGTGGTCGGACCAGAAGGGATGTAGTCGAAACAACTCACCAAACAAATGCGGTCTCCGGGTCGATAATTGTTCATCAAAAAGATGTAGCCATGCTGGACTAAAACCCGTATGAGTTCGAGATAAGTCTACTGGTCTTATCCGGACTTGCCGTGTGCTTCCAGATACCATGCCACCGCCATATCCAAGCCTTTGGCTACCGCCGACATCATGCCTCTAATGCGGGAGAATGCGGGATTGGACACCATTCGCATACCTGGCTGTGTACTCACCCCCATACGCCTGGACTCACATATGTGCCCAGACCAGGCTATCCAAGGGTCAATGTACGCCCATGATAGCGAGAAACCCTTACTTGATAATAAACCATTTGCTCATTCTTATCCTCCTTTCTCTAAACACTCGTCGTCAGTTCCACAGCATTCATAATGAAGATGTACTAAAGAGGCAAAAGTCTCGGAAGTAAAACGACAACTGACCAAAAGACTGAAGAGCTTGACGACATTCGTATTCTTTATTCCACAAGCCTCAGTACTTTTGCATAATTCAATGAATTATCACAGCTCACATCACCGTCAAACTTGTCCGCTATTCAATGGGAACCGTCAGCTCACGTCCAACACAGACACACGACCTTCTCCAGCGCTCGGCAGGAATAGAGGGGAACGCATGGGTCACGAGAATGTGTGTAGTGTGTGCATGCTTACCTGTACCATCAAAACACAGAATCAAACAACGGGCTTGAGACCCCATATTCGCTGCAAACGCCATAATAAACAAAGTCTCAGTACTCTCTCTCTCGTCTCACGAAAAATGCGTCGTGTGCTCGCGGCGTGGACTCGCCGCACAATTGTAAGGATGACGATTGGTGCTTGTTGTAATCGTGTGTTGCTCGTGATAAATCGAGATATCGGCAGAATTCGAAACTTGTGCCACAGAACCTTCGAGGGTCGCAATAAACGCCAACAAAAAGACCAAAAACCCACTGGTGGACGGTGTGTTTCCCCGGTTGTGGATGAGAGTAAAGCTGGAGCTTTCTGACGAGTAAAAAGGCCTTTGCAGAAAGGGATCGGCTGCATTTCTGCCATTGCCAATTCGCGATTGGCAATGCTGTCAATCGACCCACAGAAGCCAGGGAGCATGTACTTATATGGAAGGACCGGCTTACAAGCCACATCGTCATCACCAAGAAAATAAGAACCTCTTGTTAGAAAAAAAAGAGTGCAGGAGATACACAGAAACATATTCGTCAACATGTACATTCGAAAGTAAAAACGAGTCCAAAATAAAAAGAGAGCATGCATTGCAGATTTCTCTCTCTCATTCTCCTTCCGGCGATATACTAAAACCTCCAGTGAGTATTTGAGGACTCCATCCTGCTCTCGCATAGAAATATGGGAGAGCCGGCCTCGAATCTTTCTATGACATGCGGGAATACCAGTGATGCTTGACGATTGGCGAAGGTGAGCTGGTCCTGCTCCAACCAAAGTTTTCTATCTATACGAAATTGTGAGGGGGAAAGGAAGGATTTTAAAAAAAGCAAGGATTTGCGAGTGGCTGTTGTGAACGAAGGGGAGGAGGGGGGGCTGCTGGAGCGGGTATGTAACGGATAAGGACAATAAAATGTAAAGGAGGAAAATAGAACGAGAGTATGGACCGCAAAATCTAGACAGCGAAAAAAAGGGGACGATATGAGCACGGACGACGATGATGACGACGACGGAGAGACACGGAGTGACACAATGAAAAGCCAGAAAATTGTCCTTTTTGATGCTTTTTGATTATACGGCATAGGCGTGCTTGCGGTCCAACTCTTCACCCGAGGCGTTTTCTAACGGGTGAATGTTGGTGCTGTATGGCTCCATACCAATGTCAACGTCGACACGCTGGCTGCGAGTGACATTGACGCCGTTCAGGGTCTCTGTGGGCCGTGCCCATTGGATTGTTGATGTCTTGCCAAATTCTTGCTTGCTACGGCCACCCGTGATGCGGGTGCCGTTCGACCACGG